AATTTGGTTTTCACGTGTAATGGCGATATAAACAATGGCATCCTGCGGATAGGCCGACATGAATTCTATTGTACACATTGTAAGCTAAAAATAGAAAACTAGGTCATGGGGTTTTAAATTTGCATTGTTATTTAAAAACTTGATCTGCAAAGTTTTGTAAACAAATAGTTATCGATCACTAAGTTACTGTACAGCCAATCAATATTTGTCTTACAAAAGTGAAACATCCGGTTATAACTTAGGCTTGATGAAAATAAATAGAAATGTAGCCTTAAACTCAACAAATTATTTTCAAGTTCTCTGGATTTGCAACTTTTATAGCATTTATTCTAAAAATATAAAATTTCTCAATTAATTTTAGGCTTAAGTTTTTATTTTTTTATTTTTTTGTACGGTCTAAATCTAAAAAGCACGTTTTTATTCCATGTCAACAACACTATGGAAGGAATCTCGTCAACTCGCTTGTCTCCATTGAATCAGGCGATTTTCCGGTGGGTTTTATGGGGCTATAAAACAGATGCGTCAGACGGGAGACATCGTAATAGGCTCGGTCTGTGTAGACAATACAGGCAGGTCGTACATGTGCTCTCAAGGGTGGGGGTGACATGTCAAGGGAGGGGTGACATGTCGTCAGAGGGGGTGGGGGTGGGGGGTGGGGATGACATGTCGTCAATTAGTGGAACCACTGCACACAAGCACCTGCAACCACTTCAGTCCAGAAACGTGTAGGGTCATATAAGTAAAACACCAGCCTCAACAAGCCCCCGCCCCCACAGTAATAACGTGTAGGGTCATATAAGTTAAGCTCCAGCCCACAACAAGTCCACCCCCCCTCCCCACTGTAACACGTAGGGTCATGTAAGTTTAACCATAGCCCCAACAAGCCCCTAGTCTTTAAATAAGTCAAAAAAAAATAATATCTAATGTAGCAGAGATTAACATCGATGAATATATATATATATATATATATATATATATATATATATATATATATATATATATATATATATATATATATATATATATATATATATATATATATATATAATATTTTTTTTTAAAAGAAATTCATTAGCAAATAAGATTCAAATAACAATTTCGTATCTAAAGGTTATCACGAAAATTTGTCGCGTAACACCAAAGTTTGTTTTTAAAAATAATAGGAAGACCTGTTTTCGGAAAGTTGTGGGAACTTATAAAATGCAAATCTTCCCAAAATAAATGTTCTTCTTCTGTATACCAACTTCTTTGTCTAAATATACAAACATTTATTTAGGGCATATAAAAGTTTTATTGACTCTTGTATAACCTCTTGGTGTACGAGAGAAACTGAGAACATATAGAATCGACTGACAGAATTATGTCTGGAACACACGTTAAGATGTTTCGCTTTTGTCGAAATAGAACTTTAAGTGAATGAGTGATGACAAAATTGAAGACATGAAATGATGCTTAGTTTGAAGAAACTGCTGATACCATGACCAATATCATGGTAAGTCTTGATATTTTGATTTATAACATCAATTTTTGCAATCGTGTCTTTTAAAAAAAATATCCTTTCTATTCATCGTTTATGTTGATATTGTATATTTTAATTTGTAAAGCGACCAGTGATTTTAAAAGCATCAGAATTGGATAAAAATAAAAACTGCATAATGAAATTTAAAGTCTGGTAAAGGGACCCCTATATATTTTTTTTAAAGTTTACCTCTCCGCTTGGATACAGCCACTCCATCCCAGCTAAAGATGAAAGACGCTGTATCGCTAACTTCAGTTTGAGCGAGGGTAATATAGTTTGACACAAATCAATGGAACACGACAGTTTAATTACTCTGATAAAGAGTAAGGTACGTAAATAGCAACGTACCCTTTAGCATATTGACCAAGGGGGTTTTGCTCTTAATACATCATAACTGTGAGCTTTAATTGTTAACACGTTATAAAACTTAGGTTTAACTATTTATATAACAAGAAGGATTAGGTTTTAACACAATATAGCATTGAGGTTTAGCTGTTAACATAATATATAATTGAGGTTTAGCTGTTAACACATTATATTATTGATGTTTAGCTGTTAACACATTATATAATTGAGGTTTAGCTGTTAACACATTATATAATTGAGGTTTAGCTGTTAACACATTATATTATTGATGTTTAGCTGTTAACACATTATATAATTGAGGTTTAGCTGTTAACACATTATATAATTGAGGTTTAGCTGTTAACACATTATATAATTGAGGTTTAGCTGTTAACATGATGAACTGTATTGAGCAGTTACAAAGTTGAGAAATAGGACAAACAATGTGTTTGACTTCAATGTTTAGATGGCGTGTAATCTAACATCAGATAATAACTGGGACAGTGTTAGTGCTATATGTAGCACCGTACTTAACTGGTGCTAGCTAGGGCCACTTTATCTCACGTCAGATTGAATGGAAGACAGTGAGAGCCTCGTCGTCCCCTGCTATTGATCCAAAAGACTTGATGTACTTTATAAGACAATATACCTCCCCCTCCCCCAATATTACATAACATGAGCAGTAACGAAGGCGGACAAACTCCACATGAAGTTACAAATCAATCTTGAAACTTTACACTTGTCACAACAACAAAAATGTTATTCTAATAACTTTCTGGGCAATGTTGTGAATAATAGCAAGCAATAACCACATCAGTGATGGCGGAGGAAGTTCTAGATGGGGAAAGGTCGCGAGGGCATAGCTTGTGATGTAATTGTCAGATTTCTAAACTAAAATAGACACGAGATGAGCTGGTGCGGTGTTTTTTAAAAAAAAATTCGATGGTTGTTGCATATTTCAGAGAAGTTCAAAGATGATATGTTTTGTGCAACCCTCAATTTTTTTTGCAGCGAGAATCAAGTAATATATTATACTTTTAAGACAGTGTATTAGTTATTTAATTTACATCTATACATTTAGTCAAACAACTTTAGATGTGAAAATGAGGTTGTAGTATCATCAGGGGCGTAGCGATGGCGGGGGGGGGGGGGGCGTGGGGTGCGGATCGCACCGGGTGACACCATTTAGAGGGGGTGACACCAAGGCAAAAAATAGCAAAATATGTAGAGAAAACTTGAGTGGGGGGAGGGCAAATCGAAATTTTGAGGTGGGGGGGTGTATATCAAAAACTTGAAGGGGTGGGGGGTGCAAATCGAAAGTTTGAGGGGGGGGGTGCAAATCGAAAACTTGAAAGTTTGTCCCCGGGAAGGATCGCTACGCCTCTGGGGGGGGGGGGTGACACCATTAAGTGCCGCACCGGGTGACACCCGACCTCGCTACGCCACTGAGTATCATTCTGTCTTACATTTAATTTGAAGCTGGTAGAGCTATAATTTCGGCGAACTACCCTGTACACAGTGTTTCTTTCAGACTTTTTTTCTCCGAGGGGGGGGGGGGGACTTGATATTTTGGAAGGGGGGACACTTGTAAAAGTATGTTTTTTAATATAAATTCCATTTTTTTTGGGGGGGGGGGGGGTAGACTTTCTTCGGCCACCACCCCTCCGGAGAGATGACTGGAAGAAACTCTGCCTGTAAATATTCACTATCCACAAACAACAAAAAATGCAATGTTTTTATGTTAAAATCTAACACGATTTACAAATATAGCTAATTTATAAACGTACATGATGGCGTAATGTAGGCTACTCTTTATTTACATTTACGTTCTTCTTTTTCTCATCTATCTGTGTATGAAATGTTGACATTCTATAAAAATAGCTACTGGTGATAAATGACAAAAAAAAACATTAAGTATAGTCTACTACTGTGGCTCTTACAGTAGAGTTCCTATCCCTCTATGCCCATCTTGCCGGCAATATCTAATGGCGCTGACTGACAACAACAAAGTCAACACTGATGTTCGTCAAGGAAACCTCTAAAACTTTACTGATTCGTTCTATGCAAAGTTTCAACACACTTTAACCCAAGAACACATAAACCCTTGTAGTGGTATAACAAGCAATAAGCCTGCTACACCGGTCTGTTTGTTGACATGAATGGAGAATGTATATACCAACAAAACAAATGAAACGATGCACATATATTCAGAATCTCAAAACAAGTACTATGATCAGTGTGTTTGATGAATTGAGACTGTATAAAATAGCTAACCAAACGAGAGGGTGTGTATGGACAGAGAACCGTTGGAGCAAATCACCTTTTATAAATACGAAGACAATCACATTGTATCCACAATACTCTAGGTCGCCTTCAGTCAACCGGCCGTAACAAGTTTGGTACCGTAGATCTACCGCTTTATGCCTGTCTTAAACAGATCTACCGCTTTATGCATAGCTGTCTTAAACAAATCTACCGCTTTATGCCTGTCTTAAACAGATCTACCGCTTTATGCCTAGCTGTCTTAAACAAATCTACCGCTTTATGCCTAGCTGTCTTAAACAGATCTACCGCTTTATGCCTAGCTGTCTTAAACAAATCTACCGCTTTATGCCTGTCTTAAACAGATCTACCGCTTTATGCCTAGCTGTCTTAAACAAATCTACCGCTTTATGCCTAGCTGTCTTAAACAGATCTACCGCTTTATGTCTAGCTGTCTTAAACAGATCTACTGCTTTATGTCTGTCTTAAACAGATCTACCGCTTTATGTCTGTCTTAAACAGATTCTACCCCTTTATGTCTAGCTCTCTTGAAACTCTATTATTCTGTCATACTCAAACAAAATTAGTTACCGCTTTATACTTAATATGTAAAATCGTAGGAGATACCGCATTATACCGGCTGGTTTTAAACAGGTCTACCGCTTTATGTCGACCTGCCTCGAAGAAATAAATCCCCAGCTTTATACTCTGATTGTTGTTCTGTCGCCCTGTCTAAGTGTAACAAACTATGTGTACTTCACGGCCGTGGGTTTATAGCTTTATTTGTGAATCGATATAAAACAACCCACGCACCGTTTATAAGGAGTTGATATAAAATAAGCCGGGTTTTATAAACCACTCGTTGAAACAGATGCTAGGGCAACTGATTATCAAGTTTGTCCTATTGTATACCATAGGTAGGCATTCATTGCATTGGGAGAGGGCGCAGGAAAATCAGGAGAGATTAGTTCTAACTATAGTGCTGGTAGGTGTACGGTGGTTTTCTTTTAATTTGTCTGCATTAACCAGACCATTCATTTTCGCTACTGATTATTATTGTAGGATATTCATATTTTGTTTTGGATTTCTTTTTATAATTTATCTCTAGTTTAATTGCGATAATACAATGTATTAATCTTATTTGGGATACGTCTTTGGTGGTAGGTAATAGTTTAAAAAAAATACATTTAACAATGCTTATGTAGGTCCCTATGAAGCTTTACTTTGAAATTTTTAAAAACATTTAAATTTAACTTCTTTTTATTTTAAAAATAAACGTACACGTATTATTTCTGTATATTTCTGTTTAATATTACTTGTATATGGCACCTATCTCAAAGATGTTGTATTTGTTTTCACCAAAGATGTGTACAATATTTCTAAATTTTAGGCAATATCTAGCGTCATTAAAAAACACATTTGTAATGTACTATTTATAACCGTAGATAAAAGACATCAGTATGCTAAGATGACTGAATTAAGGTGCGCTACGGTCATACAGAATTGTCGCGTTGGGTGCTTTAGTGTGACGTACCTCGCTTAGAGTATTGATTTCTTAACAATCTCATGCTTGGCAGCGTTCTGAATCTGAGGTTAAACATTCAGACGTTTAACAATCCGAGGCACCACATATTGAGATTTGTGCGGAAGAAGATTTTGATTATTGTGTGCAATTTTTTATTCTCTAAAATCTGCAAGTGATTAATAGTTAATGTTAATAATAGCTTAAATTAAATAATATGTATTTTAGTAATTACATATAATTTTAGAAACATAATTACTGAGTTATTTTTTTAAATTTTATTTCTAGAAGAACCTAACATCGAGACCTAGTCAAACCTCAATGATGGGATTTCCCTGCATGAAGCTGAAAAAGATCCGCTGTGTTTTTTTTAAACTAACAAGTCTGACGCTATGCTTGACCATTGTGTTGTTCCTGTATAACAACGGTAATCTGACGGTCAGAAGAGGATTGTCCTACAACTTCGCTATGATCAGCAGAGAGAGGGCAGCTACAATGGACACTTATCACACTGAAACTCTTCAGTGCGTGATGCCTAAGTTGGGCGTCAATGATTCAATCATGATGAAGTTCTACAAGAAAATGGACGCAGTAACATGTAAAGGGGAGAAGAATTGGGTTTTTGCTGAAAACGGAACTTTGCGTTTTGCGGAAAACCTCACGGAAATACACGGAGAGGTGAAATGCGATTTTATACCATTTTTCCGGGGTGAGAATGATTATAAAGTTACTTATGGCGAAAAGGTTGTCGGAATAAAAGACGGTTTTCCGTTGGTGTCGGATTTTTTCAAGGTGTCTTGTAATTCCAGTAAAGACAATGCGAGCTATACGAACCTCCACGCTGGGGTGTTTGTGAACCAGACGATCAAAGACAGGCTCAAGCTGACCAAACCTCCAGCCAACGGTCTGGGACTGTCTGTGGCGCTACTAGGGTTTGATTCCATGTCCAGAATGTCCTGGCTGAGACGGATGCCAAAGACCAGAGAGTATCTGGTCAACACGCTAAAGGCGATAGAGCTGGAAGGTTACAACATCTTGGGGGACGGGACGCCGGCGGCGTTGTTGCCGATCCTGACAGGCAAGCACGAGCATGAGCTACCAGAAGCCAGGAGGGGCTTCAATGGATCACATCCGGTTGACAGCTTTCCTTGGCTGTGGAAAGATTTTCAAAAGCGTGGATACGTCACTTCCTGGGCGGATGCGGAAATTGTCATCGCCCCCTTCAACTACAGACTCTTGGGGTTTAAATACCAGCCTACCGACTACTTTATGCGGACATTTTTTCTAGCGGTGGATCCAACGTACAAGAAATACAGTCGCTTCTGCCATGGATCCGAACCCAAACACATGGTCTGGCTCAACTGGGTTCGTGACATTTTCTACATGTACAAAGATGACCCGAAGTTTATGGTCCACTTCTACACACCACTGAGTCACGACGACAACAACCTCATCACTATGGTAAGTCGTCTTTGCATTTAAAAATTCCACTTAGTCCTAAACCATCGCACAAGTAATTTATGATAATTTTAAATTAAAAGCACCATTGCAATGTCACATATTTATATTCTTTTTGTAAGGAAAAACAATACAATTCTACACAAATCTAAAATCTTTATAAATATATTTAGACAAAAACAAATGAAATGCGGTTCTTTCCTGGATGTAACTAATCTTAAGCCATATTTTATTTATCACATATTTTTTAAGAAATTTAATTAAGAAGCTGTGTTCTGGTAACCCTGCAGTCAGTTAATTAACTTCCACTTTCATAATCCTCTAATCATGTTATCTCGCGAGTTAGTGAACTCACCCACACTATAGTTACCAGGTGTTGCCCAGTTTGTTTGCATTACAATTACTGACAGTAAAATCTATTAATTTGATAACATTTAATTTTTTAACAATATACATCTCTCTCTTCCCTTTTTATGTGTCATCACTTTTAATTCTGGTTAAACCACTCAGCTCAAACCCCACTGTTGTGTTCAAATCATGTGCAGCCTATGTTTACAGAGATAAAAAAAATTATAAGGGAGGGAAGAATTAGTCTAGTTTTGTACGAAGGTATTACTGATCTTAGTGCATTTGTGTGAACTACTTACGCTGTACGTGTGAACAAGATTATTATTCAAAGGCAGGTTAGATTTGGATGCCAACAACACCTGCAATGATTCATTTACACCTGAGATGTATTAATTATGTCATAATTATCGTTGCCCAGAATTATAATTCCGGCCATAAAAATCTGTTATATGTTTTATATCTATCGACACATTATATCGTTCTGCTTACATTTTCAACCTGTGCATGATTTATTTACAGTAGTAATAGCGTGAGGTACGACCAGAGGCGTAGCAAGGTGGGGGGGGGGGGAATGCGGACCGCACCGGGTGACACCATTTAGGGGGGTGACAGCAAGGCAAAAAATAGTAAAATATATAGAAATGATCAAATCCCGTTTATTAGAGTACTTGTGAGCAGAAAATAGAAACAAATGTTATGGAGAAGTTGAATCACAAACATGAGTATCCTGCTTCAACATTAACTAACATAGCCCAGCTAAAAAGGTAACGAAAACACATTAGTTGAAATAATAAATAACCTCAAAATCAACACGTTTCCGAACAATGTATCAATGTTTAAAATTACTTCCATCCCGCGGTCGTACAAATATTTTGTATATACCAGGACTAAATTTGACTAATAACATTAAAAATATTTTATAAAAGAATTAAGGTATTGTACAATACAAGGCTTTTGTTCACTGGGGTTTGGCTTGCAAAAACCAGGAAGACTTTCTCAACGGGGCGGAGGTAGATATTGGTAACAAGACATCACCAAAGTCTAACCTATACCCACAACGAAAAATATTTAATTGCCAAGACAAAATCCGCTAGAACAAAGACACAGGTGTCGCTTAGGGATATAAAAACAAAAGAATTAAAACACCATTAAAAATAGTAATTTGTTTTTGCGACCTGTTCACTATCGAACTTTTCTTCTTCTTCTTCCTTCTTAAATTTTTGTATTTTTGAAAGAGATTCCCTCTTATACAATTAAGTATACGTGTCAACTGGTTATGCGCCATTTTGGCCGTTGGCTCCGATTTCAGCATTTTTCGATTTAATAGCTTTTGTTTTTGGATTTGCTTCCATAGCCTTTGTCCAAACCAAGAACACACAAGGCAGCAGTTGTTTGATTTTGGAGTTGTCTCTCCTAGATGAGGTGCTGTCCCCAGCTATAGAGCCACATCAGCCCGGGGGTACGAACTCGGGACTCATCTGTTTGGCTACAATGAGCTTAACCGACCTGAACACGCCGACCGCTATTAACAATGACGGTAGATTCTAAAAAAAAAAGGATACTTTATTTAAATGATAAACGATAATTTTCATCGACAGGAAGAAGCGACGTTTTCGTCTCGATGCTGTGATTTATATTGTTCACACTTATATTTACTAGCCCTTAGCGCCTAAGCTTCGCTCAAGCTATACGTAGCCCTGTCAAATTTTAAAGGTAAACTCTTACTTTTTATGAGTTTTTAAATTTAAAAAAATATTTTTTTAAACGCTGACAACGACTCCAAAATAAACTAAAAGCGGTTGCATTTTTCTTAGTGCCCCAGGCTCGTTCATGACCAACACGGCACCTGCATTCGTTTTAAAGCGCGCCATACACGAAGGATAATGCCGCCACAGGGGACAGCACCTGTCGCCACTGCTGTAGAGAAACCCGTGGCTCCCAAGAGCACTTCACGACGCCCGGATACCTGAGCTTTATCGGAGAGGTGTTCCACCTCACCCTTGCTGGGGGTGATCGCATTATACCCGTACACAACCTACGAGCGTGCGTGACATGCTGTGGTCGGCCACTCACAAGCCACTTAACATAAAGTAAATTTTGTGGCCTATGAAATATACAACATTATTGTTGCATACATCGACACTATTTACTTGTTGAAATCTCCATATAAATTTAAGCTTTTAATCAATTGTTCGAAGTATACAATGTTTCGGCTGACTTTCTGTTTGGGTTGCCTGTGAGTTTATGAAATACTTAAAATATTGGATTCTAAACAATGCTTAAGATATTGGATTCTAAACAATGCTTAAGACATTCTATTCTAAACAATGCTTACGATATTCGATCCAAAGAGCTCCTTACTCTATATGATTCTTAACAATACTTAAGGTATTGGATTCTAAACAATGCTTAAGGTATTGGATTCTAAACAATGCTCAATCTATTCGATTATGCACTATGCTTAACATATTCCATTCAAAACAAGGCTTAATATATTCGATTCTAAACGATGCTTAATATAATCCATTGGAACATCTGCAGCAGTTGACGTCATATTGTATTGCACGCCCATACGTTCGATTATCGGGAGGCTGCCAAAACTTTATCAGGTAATCGATTCTTCCTATCGTGACTGCGATAACGATACCAAGAGGATATCGAGAAGAAATGAAAAATATATAATTAAAAAATGAGGTAGGAGACGATAAAGTTATCAAGTATGAGTGTAAATATGTACATACATAAACACATAGCTATACACACATAAAGATGCACATACACACATAGACAACCTGGTAACTGAGCCAAGATTATGCTCACAGATGTTTTCTCACGAGGGAGCCGCCCTCTTGTATTCACTAGGTTAAAATTGCAAGCAATTGATCGGGCTCTGAAGCACTTATTTTCGGTCGTGCAGTTTTCGACTTAATTGTAATCGCATTAAATGGAAAGAGCAATTCGTTTTTTTTTTCGCCTGAATATTATAATTTTTTAATAGAAAAATCATTGTTACGAAACAAAATGTGGAAAACTTTTTTTTTTAAATCCTGCCAACTCACAAGCTGTTAAAAAAACTAAAACTTACAATATGAAACAAACTTTCTTTAGTAAGACATTTTTTCTTTAAAATTTTATCTGACCATTAGCAACCAAGGCTTTTACTAATAAGAAAGATAATTTCATTCTTTTACTTTTGTGCTTGTAAAAACTTATTATAAAGACGGTATGCCCTTCTTTGCAGTCTAATTTACACAAGGTAGTTAAAAATACATCGGTTTCGATACACCACGACAGTTGAACCATAGGTTTAACCATAGTTATCCGAGCCTCACAGACTTGTGTAACTAAGTGAGGTGAAGCAGAGTTTACCTCTTCACTGAGGTCAACTGTGGAAACACCTTGACATATGGTGACATTTACCTAAATACAATGTTTCTCCAGGATGAAGTGACATAATGTTGACATATTGTTGACATACTGTTGTCACATTGTTGACACATTGTTGACATATTGTTGACATACTGTAGACATACTGGTGACATACTGTTGTCATATTGTTAACCTACTGCTGACATATTGTTGACATACTGTTGACATACTGTAGATATATTGTTGACATACTGTAGATATATTGTTGACATACTGTAGACATACTGTTGACATACCGTTGACATACTGTTTACATACACTCACATGTGAGCGTCCATCATATCTAGGGGGGGCACTAGAAATTTTCGGGGGGGGGGGGGGGCGACACTAGTAATAGTGTATGTTTACTATATAAAATCCATCTCGTTCGGGGGGCGGTAGACTTTCTTTGGGGGGAGGGGGGGGGGGAGAGAGATGCCTGGAAGAAACTCTGTTCCCTTGCTGTAACATGAGTACATACATATTTGCGTTATTGAAAAAACGCATCCCCCTAATTCTAATTTGAAAGCGCACTTTTATGACGTCACACAATTGATGTAGAAAACAGTTTAATAATCAGAACAGCAGCTTAGAATTTTAAACTATATTTTTTCCTGCTTTGGCCCACCCATAGGGTCGGCGCCAGGGGCGACCACCCTCCCCTCTCTTAACCTCCGTAGCCGGGTCCGTAGTGGGGTTAATAGTTCGTGATAAAAAACGAAAAGCTGCGACTGAATGTGCACCAGAATAGTATCATGACACCTGTCATTTCCGTTACATTCTGATAGCCGGAAAAAAAAACACTTCCGTCTGATTGAAAGTGAGAAAAGCGTAGTGAAAAAGGCACTGATCATTGTAGATAAAAACACTGTCGAAAATGAATCCAAAGTAGCAAAATATTGTAAATTGTAGGAATGGTCTCAAGCGAAGTTTAATTAAGTTTAATTAATTTTTTGGGCATGACGTGTAATACAAAGAGTGCAGCGTGTCGGCCTAAGTTAATAAAAGTTACCGACAGAGAATAGCAAGGGAACGAAATGAAGCCTCGTCACCTATCGAGTGTAATCTACATCCCCACCGTAATCTCAAGTCTAGCAATTTCCAAGGTGAATAACGCTTTTTAAAACTATTTATTTCTTTGAATTTTCATTTTTAGGATTGCGTACAATATTTATAATTTATCAATGCGTGTGTCTTAAAACACGATAAAAATAAATCGGGAGTGATCTCCCCTAAACTTTCTCGAA